AGAGTGACAAGGATTAGAAGATTAAAATGAGGAAAATAGATTGAATACCCTTTCCTTTGATCATTTGATAACAAAACCCCATTATCTGATAGAGGTGTGCTTGTCCCTATTACCACCTATTACAAAGGTGGAGTCAAGAAAATGGTTACTAGGAGAGTAGTTAAACATTCTGTTGCCCTAGGACACAGGACACAAGAAACATAGATCAAAGGATTTATGGTTTGAGTCTCCATAACTTTGGTTTCCAGTGTGGTTCTTCTCTGCCGCCTTATACAAATCACACACTGATAGTGCAAATGGAACATTTAGTATCACTGTAAATGTGTCAGCCCTATCCAAATGAGAAACTCATCCATTTATGAAGGAAATTTTTGTGGCCTTCTGACTCAAAGATGTATCAAATCCTTCAAATTTGGGTTCCTGAGTTGGTTCTTATCTTACTGTTGATGGTTTACTATATGGGCTATACTAGAAAGACACATAGGAGCCTCAGTGTAGGCCATTTCCTCCACACTGATTAATAAGTTTCAAAAAGGATAGTTGCTGTAGTTGTTACAGCTTCAGGTAAATTAAATAGTCAGAGGAAGTGATAAGGTCTGCAACCTTGTTTAAAGTAGGAACCTGTGGCTATTTGTGGTTGTCTGAACAAGAATGGGACCCCTAGACTCAAATATTTAAGTGTTTGGTTCCTAGTCAATGGACTGTTTAGGAAGGATTAGGAGGTATGGCCTTGTTGGAGAAGGACATGAGCTTTGAGGTTTCAAAAGCTCACACCAAAACAAGTCTCTCTTTGTCTGCTGCTTCTGGATAAGATATAACCTCTAAGATACTGGCCTGGCACATGACTTACCCTCTGAAACTGTAAGCAAACTCCCAATTAAATGCTTTATTTTATAAAGTTGTTTTTTCATGGTATCTTTTCATAGTAATGGAGCAGTAACTAAGACAATACCTTAGAAAGAAGGAAGGCAAAAAAGGAAGGAAATTAAATTATTGCATCATCTACCTGATTACTCTTAGAATCTAAGATTAGAGACAGTAGGGAAGGGAATTCCATGTAATAATTTGTAGGAACTGAACTTGGTGTTAGATTTCACAGGTGTTTACTCATTAGATTGCATAGGATATTTGTACATCTACAGACATTGTGAAATTGCAAGACTGTCCCAAGGAGGCCCAAAAAATGTTTTCCCAAAGAGCAAGAAGGGCACTTGAGATCAGACAGTGATATGTATTTGTCTTCAAATTAACAGAGTATTGAAGGAACAAAGTACTATATTTGGAAGAGTCCTTCTACTATATCTATAAATTAGTATGAAATTTCCAGAAAATAAAAGGATCGAGTAGTTGGTCTTAATATCCATGAAATTAATTTTCTTACTAGCCACATCTAGGGTAACTTGAGCTCTTTCAGATGAGATCAAAATGTCAGGAATTGAAACTAGCCTGTTTCCTGGGAATTCTTAGTTCTGTAAGGTAGCCATAATATTGAGCATTGGCCTCTTTATACTCTGAATATGGGGACAATCCACTTTTCAATGCCAGGCTTTATATTTTCATACGTAAGACATGAGTAGAGTGGGTGAAGTGGGGTGATACAGATAGATGGCTAGTGGAATGGGATTTTGTCCAGCAGCTCTAATTTTGGCTTTCTAATCTTTGACATATATTAATGAGGATCTTTTGGTGGATAGGTCTTGGCAATAACATCTTCAAACTTAAATGTCTCTTCTCTCCTCTTTTCCCATTGATCTTCTCTAGAGGCATTTAAAAATTTATTGCTTCTTTAGGAATTTCATATCATGTACCCCAATCTTACTCATTTCTCCCTCCTCTCCTACCCATTCTCTACCCTTGCAACCTCCATCACAAGAGAGAAAACAATAACAATATCTGTGTGTCATAGTGTGTACCCTTCAGTCTACATTTCTTTGCTTTCGAATGTTCATGGCAATGAATCATTGGTGTAGTTCAAGGCCTCTGGCTTCTGCTATTTTATCAATACTGGAAGCCTCATTGGTACTTCTCTCATATATGCTATTGTTACACTGTGTCTTGAAGATCCTGTAGTTTTGAACCTGTAAGATCAGCCCCTTCATGCACTCCAACAGTTCAAAGATAGGGTAGATGTTGTGGTGTTTCACTTCAAAGCCCAGGATTTGAGCCTGAGAAGAATCTGAACTGGTGAGCCCACCTCTTCTTCCACCCTGATGCCCTTGGGGCTGGCTCTCCAGCAACCTCCACTTCCAGGGCCAATTCTACCTTGTTGTCCAGGCAAGGTGCAGGGCCCACTTTCTCGAATGTTGCAGCTGATAAGAGACATGGCCTGTTCTACTACTTTCATGACACTAGGGCCAAATCTCCTGCCTGCCATAAATGGTAAGGGATAAGGGATGGGTGGAGGCTATCTCTCCCTCATCTGCACCGTTATCCAGCAGACAAGAGGCAAGGCCAGTTTTCTAACACTCATGCCCTTGGGGCTGGTTCACCCACAACTCCTACATCCAGGGCCATTTCTATTGTGCTGCCTATGTAAGGTGCTGTTTGGGACATAAAACCATGCCAGGAAGTTTGATAAGGTAATGCAGGTCGAGACCTGGAGACTCTGTGGCCACACACCAGAGGCTTAGGTGACTCCCAGCTCTCTGCCAGTCTCCTGGCTTGGAACACACGTGCCATCATGCCATGCTTCTCACTCAAAAGAGATGTGACCACAGGTCACATAGGCACAAGACAGAGGGCTCCATGCTAATGAGGTACCTAGAGGCCCAGAGGGAGTAGCCAATAAGCTTCCCTCCCCAGACGTTCCTCCCTGCAAAAGGTATTTAATCTCAGGCCTACCCTGAGAACTGAGGTATTGTTTTATACATCCATATTCCACCATAACAATAAATGGTTTGGAACCACAGACTGTCTCTTTTCATGGGCTTGCACCCTAGGGATCCATGAAGAAGGCCTTCGCCCACAGAGCTACTGTCTAATCTCCTGTAGAAGGCCTTTCTACACTCTCAGCCACAACTGCCACCAAGCCTGCCACCAGTCAAGCCAAGAACAATCACCGTAGGACCAGGACCAACTGGAGCTCCCTTCTTCCTCTCCGTCCCCCTGTCCCATGCTAGACCCAGCCCTCAGGCCCCCCACTCTGCTCTCTGCTCTTCTGAGACTCCAAGTGGTTCCTGGGTACCCAAGGGTCTGAGAACCGCATGGCCCTGGCCTCATCTCAGGCCCAGGGATCCCTGAACCACCTCCTGATTTCCCATGCCACAGACTGTGCTTCCCCACCCCCTGGCGACCCTGTGGTGGAGTGGACTCAGGATCCATAATCCTACAATGCTGGGCCTGATCTCCTTAGTGCTGCAGTAGAAGAAGAGCAGGGACAGCTCTCCTGCCTGCCATTGGTGGCAAGGGATGAAGAGGGGAGGACATCTCTCCCATACCTATGTCACTGAACAGCAGACAAGCTGCAGGGCCAGCTCTCTGACACTCACACCCTCGGGAACTGCTGATCAGCATCACCACCCTCAGTTCAACTGTGCTGCCCAGGTGAGCTACAGGACTTAATCTCCCATGTGCTGCAGCAGGTGAGGGTCATGATCAGTTAACCCAGTCTGATGACCTTGGAGGCCAGCTCTCTTGCTTGCCATAGATGGCAAGGGGGTAAAGGTGGGTCATCTCGCCCTCACCCATGTTACTGCATGGCAGATAAGTGGTCAGGCCATCCCTCCCATGCTCATGCCCTCAGGGCTGACTTGCCTGCCCACCTGCCAATAGGCTCAGCTCTACTGTGCTGCCCAGGTGAGCTGCAGGGCCCAGTCTCCCAAGTTCTGCAGTTGGTGAGGGGCAGGACCAACTCTCCTGATCTCATGATCTCAGGACCAGCTCACTCACCTGCCACAGGTGGTGAGGGGGAAGGGAGAGAAGGGTATCTCTCCTTCATCCATGTCACCACATATGAGACAAGTGGTAGGGCCAGATCTCCTGTGCTCCTATTCATGGAGCTAGCTCACCTGCAACTCTCTCAATGTGTGGGGCCTGTTCTCCTGAGTACTGTAGCTGGCTATGGACAAGGTCAGCTATCCTGTTTTTATGCCCCCAGGGCCATATCTCTCTGTTTCAGTTAGGGTTTCCATTTCTGCTAAGAGACACAATGACCAAGGCAACTCTTATAAAGGACAACATTTAATTGGGGCTGGCTTACTGGTTTTGAGGTTCAGTCCATTATCATCATGGCAGGAAGCACGTCAGTGTCCAGGCAGGCATGGTGCTGGAGGAGCTGTGAGTTCTACATTTTGCTCTAAATGCAAATAGGAGAAGACTAGTATTTTCCAGGCAGCTGGTGAGGAGGAGGTTCTCAAAGCCCAACCCCATAGTGACATACTTCTTTCAACAGGACCATACCTCCATCAAGATCACACCTCCTAATAGTGTCACTCCCTGGGCCAAGCATATTCAAACTACCACATTCCCACAATACCCATGTAAGGGGTGGGGGTAGCTCTGCACAGTCCTCAGATATTGAAATGTCCCTAGGTGGCAGCCCAGACCAGGGACTTCTGCCTGGTCTTTGATGGTAACAGACTTCTGACAATTCAGGGCCATGGACACAGACATGTCCTCTGGTGGCAGCACAGGACAGGACCCTACCATGATCCCAGGTGACATTACTAGTTACATCAGAATGTTCCTCACCACCCTTGGGTCTCCAGTTCTACTTCTTCATTGTGCCCATATGCTTCAGTTTCTCTTTCTCTTCCATTTCTCCACCACTAACTTGTTCCTCTTCCAGGTGTCTGTAGTGTCTGAGTGTCTGGGGTCATCTCTGGAGTGGTCTCGGGAGTTCTATGCCTCGCTCATGCATTATGGTGCCAGGCTGGCATCATCTCATACATCTCTACCTCCAGGCCTGTGGGTTGCCCGACTGGTGTGTATCTCAGACTAGCTCCCTGTTCAAGCCCTATGGTGCTGGTCTGCTGGTCATCTCAGGCTTGCTTTTCTCAGGAAATGTTAGGCTACTAATCATTCAGGTGTTCATAGGTAAGGACACTGAATGCAGACATAGCCTCTCTCCTCTTTGCCACCTACTGATGCACACGTGATACAGCAGTCAGGCCTGCAATGCTTCTAGGGACAGGCAGAGACATTTTTAAAAGACACTGTCAATAGCTGATCTTGAGAGGTTGGGGTCTTAGCTGTAGTTTCAGAAGATTTCTATGTATACTGGAGACTAATAAAACACTGACCTGGAAAGGCTTGCCTTTCTGAAGATAAGGGATCCAGCCTGATGAATTTTCTGAAGGTCTCCAGTTAGCTTATTGAAAACTAAGACAAGATTTTCTTCACTTGCTTGAGTGAACTCTCTGACTTGAAAGAGTTAACACATCTTAATGCATTTTCCTTCCTGAAATATGACTTTCTATTATCACTCTACACCTTGGAGTCCCTGCTGTTATAATTCCAATAAGTGGACTCTTGATCTTCGATGACGACCGATGTTTTTGGCTGATGGACGTTAGGACTTTGACAAAGTAACTTGTCTGCATGCTGTTTAGCCTCCTTGAAAGTCCTTTACTCTTCTCCATGGAGTAGAGCAAGTAGTTGAGACTAAGTACAAGTTATTCCATGGAAGGTAAAGAGCGAAAGTTACACTTTACAAGTTACTGGTAAATCTAGAGAGGTCTTCAAAGAAGGTTCTGAGGTTTTCTTGCACGATTTAGAGGTCTGCAGTTGAAAAAGTACCATTAACACGTGTTGTCTCTATGTGCCAGGTGCTGCCTTTAAGGAGTTCTGTAGGCCTAGAACAGGGTGGTTGATAAGAAGTTCTGTTTTTCTAGGTGTCCTGTAGAGCTGCTTTCTCTTATTTTATGGTTACTTGGGGTCAATGGAAGGATGTGTTAGCACAGAGTTCTGTGAAATGGAAGGAAATACTTTCATTCAGGCCCTGTTGCTTAGTGCTTCTCATTTGAAAACTAAAATTTACACAGAAAGAGATTATTTATGACATCAGAGTTTCTCCCTTTTTAGTTATTCATTGTATATCCCACCTTCCTGGTAGAGAACAATGAAGACTTGCACATAAGTTCATGCAATTTTTCTTTATTTTTACAAGACAGATCAACCTGCAGGATGGTATAATTTAAGTTTCCACCCTTGGGCCAAATTTCACCATCACTCAGATTGCATTGAGGCCATGCAGTATTATAGTAAAGTATTAACCTCTTTTTCTTTAGGTTCTCAGGATCAAACTTGAGTTATGAGATGTCTTATAGCTGACCCCAAGGCAGGGACAGTGCTTATGAAACAATTGCTAACAAGATTCCAAGGAGGCACTTAGGGGTTTTTATAAGTGCTTACATTTATAAGAGATGATTAGATTGTGTAAAGACATAGGTACTAGCCCCTTGCAAGGAGTGGCTCATGCAGCAGCCCTTAAAGAAGTTATATGCCCTGAAGAGAGAAAATGGTACCTGATATATAAGTTGGAAAATGGGACATTTTGCACATAATTGCTATCATAGAGATTTCAAATAAAAAAAAAGTGGGCTCCAGTACCCCATAGATGGTCTATACGGTCCCTGGTTTGTGCCTATGATGTCAAATAGGAATACACTGGGCTGATTATGAATGCTGACTACAAATAGATATTCATAGATAATCTCTGGTAAGGGGTGGGAAGTGATAGATGAGGCCCTCCCAGTTCCTATAAAACAATGGGATATATCATTCTATTGGGCCCCATGAACTAACATAGCAAATTGATAAACTTCAGTGACCAAAGTGCATCACTGATCATCTCTATCAGGCAACCCCAAACCACCTGTCTTATACACACCCATAACAGGAGACTCTAAGCCGTCACTGTGGTCGTATATGGGTACTTGCCTCTAAGCACACGAAGACTTATTTTAGGAAGAGGCAGTCAGAATCTACAAAGAACACCTGGGATAATACACAAAGAGTATATATTGAGGTCCTGACTCAGTTGCCCCAAACTTATATTGATATTGCACTTAAATAAAAAAAGATAGCTCTACTGGTGATATTCCCCATTGTTAAAATAGGAAAAATTGTCAGCCTTGTAAAGATGGAGGTTTGGGGTCCTGAAATTGTGCTTATTCAGTACAAAAAGTAATGGAGAATTGGAAATAAGGCTGTACTTAATGATAAAACTTATCTTGGGCTTCCTGATACTGAGATCTGTCCATAATTGCAGAGTGATATTGATGCCCCCCTGTGGCCCCTTCAGCCAGATGTTGGTTATATCTACAGGGAGTCAATGAGGCACAGGCACCATTACAAAGTTCTGCTTGTGGAATGCTAAAGGTCATTAAGCTATCTTTGGGTAATATATCTTATCCAATATGCCTTAATATTTATGGGGCCAAGATATTTTGAGACAAATAACAGCTCTTTTATATAGCTGGAAGCATATTTTCTCTCATCAGATGCTACACAGAGAATTTTACCCATTAAATTTAGGTAAAACTTAACAAGGTACAATATTCCAAAAAATCCTTAGGGTATTTATAAATGGCAACTATGGAGTATCCCATGACTGATCACTTTTCTCATGGCCATGGTTGATGTTACAAGGCAAGTCTGATGGTAATGTGCATTCTGGACCACTCGATTAACAGAGAAACTTCTCTAGATCGGTCAGTGGCTGTTCCCAGGAGAAGAATTGGCTATCAATGCTGCTTTTGTGAGGAAACAATTATACATAGGAAACAAAGCACCATCTACTAGTTATTGGAATACCCTCATCTTTGTCATAAAAAAGAAGTCAGCTAAATGGAGGCTGTTGGAGAAATTAAGGACTGTAAATAGAGTCGTGCAGGCAATGGGAGCCTTAGAACTATGACTGCCATTGCCTACTATTACACCATCCCATTTTCATTTAATTATATTTGATTTAAAGAACATGTGATTTTCATCATTTCACTGTGTTTTAGCTGTATTAGTTGTTTTTTGAATGTTGTGAAGAGACATGAAAACAACTTATGAAATGTTTATAGTATCTCATGATTCTAGAGGACTAGTGTCCATGATCATTATGGCCAGGGGATCAGCAGGTAGGCAAGATGCTGAAGCAATTGCTGAGAGCTTGTATCTTGATCCACAGCTGTGGGGAGAGAGAGAGAGAGAGAGAGAGAGAGAGAGAGAGAGAGAGAGAGAGCAATGGCTGAGTTCTTGTAAGCACAAAACTTACCACAGTGACATTCCTACTTTTCCAACAATACCTCCCCTCTTAATCCTTTCCAAACCTTTCCAAATGGTTGCACCTACTAAGGACTACATTGTCAAATATATGAGCTTATGGTGATAGTTCTCACAGGCCAACAACTCACTGATCTTGAAAAATCTGCTTTTACTCCTCCTTTGCCTGATCATGGTTTACTCCCAGAGCACTTTTGATGGAAAGTTCTTCAGGGCAGGAAAACAGCTCTTCTGTGTATCAGGAATTTGCTGTGGAAGCTATCAAGCTCCATGTGACAAAAGCCCCTACAGCTTATATGGATAATATTCTAATCAGCCATCCTCATTCTTTTAAATTGGCAAAAATCTTTGTCAACTTCCAAAATGTCTTTCAAATTACACCAAAAAAGCTTCAATAGACATCTTCATTCCAACAATTCAGCAACATTCACTGAAATGTAATGTATTCTCTTAAAAGCTAAATATTCACAAGAATTGTTTCAAAAGTTTGAATGATTTTCAAAAACTGTTATGAGATATTAATTGGGTTGGACCCTCATTTAAGTTTACTACCCAGGAAATTTTTCCATGTTTCCAAGTTTTAGAAGGGGAGACCAGTCCCTTTTCTCCATGCCATTCTATGTCTGAGGCTAAGATGGCACTAGCTGCAGTGGAAGAAGCTATGCCCAGTAGTTGAGTACAGAGGTGAGACCCAACCACATCTCTTTCACTACGATTCCTATAACCATACATGCTCCTCACTGGGGTACTTTGGTAACTGCAGAACATTTTGGAATGAATATATTTGGGTCATTCCTCTTATACGGATCTAAATCCTCACTATGACTTGATGACAAAATTAATCTCAGTGGACACAAATGTGTTATAGAAATTCTAGGTAAACCACAGACACAATTACCGTCCCATATTCAGGACATCAGTGTCAACTCTGGTAATAGTCTACTGCCTGGCAATGTTCTTTGGCTAATTATCTTGAACAGCTTGATTCTCAGCTTCAGCCATCCAAGATATTATACTTTTCATCGAGTCATGGGTTTATTTTTCCCAAGGTCACATTTTCTCAACCCTTTGCTTCAGCTAAGAATATCATTACAGAAGTTTCTGGCAGTAGTATTGTACCTACCATTCTTTACCAAGTTGTAAAGAACAATGTACATCCTCCTCCTCAGCTCAACAAGCATAACTCTTTGCAGTCTCCAATGTTTTAGAAGATTTTGACTTTTACTCCCATATTTATAGTGACATATCCTATGTAGAAGGGATAATATGAGCCTATATTGGTCATAATTATAGCATCTTTTTCATAGGACCTAGGAATTCTTGTGCTACTGTCAGTGTGCTTGCTGTGTTGGCCATATTTGGTCATATTCACATCTTCTTCAGTCACTGGCTGAAGGTAATACATGAGCAGGTACTTTGATCTTAGTCCCTATTCTGCCACACTGTTGCTATGAAGGGATAAAAGCCAATGATAGGTGTATTCTATAATATGAAAACTCTTCCTTTTTCATGTAAAGAATTTGTCTTTTCCTGAGAATAGATTAGGTTAATAATTAATTAAGCAATGCGCCCAATGTTTTCCTTTCCAGCTTGTCATGCATGAGTATGTTAACCCCAGAGGGTTATATCCCAGTGTTCTTTGGCAGATGGATGTTCCTCATGTGTTCCTCTTTGGGAGAATATAATTTGTTTCTGTTGATACCTATACTCTTATTGTGTTTATGCCCCTGCTTCCACAGGAAAGCTACAAACCGTTCTACTGTTCACTACTTTGCCACATTCCCTGTTGAAACACAGATGCCTCAAGATGGACAAGTTCTTGCTTATAAAAATTTCCATGTACAACATAAAATAATTTCAAAATATGGGTATTCTTTGCTACCCAAGGGACAGGCTATTATACAAAGATACCACAGAT